GGTGAGCTGATCTGTGGGTTAGGTTCTGGCAGACTGGATTTGACTTTCGGGGTGTGTTGGATACCCTGAAGAAGGCAGTTTATCTAGCGATTCCTGCCAGTGGTTTGTTGACTGTAATACCTTATTGAAATACAAAGATAAAAGATTGCTATGGTCTCTGGTTAACATGCACACCTGCTTGTATGCGCCTGCTACACTATTGTTATGCTGAAAGAACTGTTAGGATATACTTGTTATACTGAGCTTCCACTCTTAGACATGAGAGCTGGCAAAAGATCGTGTTAACACTTAGGGCAATTCTTCAGATAGGTTTATGAAGTGTTTTGCGGGTTTATTATTGGAGGAATAGAGAATTCCTTTGTGTGTATATATGCATGTGGTACTTTCTTAATGAGCTAGTCATTTTTTCAGTGAAAAAGTTGAGATTATTCCAATGCAAGATGTAAGAGACTGTGAATGTGTTCTTGTCTAGCTCTAAGAGGTTGAAAAGTAACTTTTAGAATAATATTGACAAATATGCAATTTCTGGGAAGGGAAACAAGATATGTTTGATTAAATTCATGTTGTATTGGTATATGAAGTAGCTTTGAATCTTAAGATCTCTTAAAAGTTAGGAAAATAGCTGATACAGCTTTTGATGGAATTTAGTGTAAATATGTTTTATGGAGGGTAGCCCATGCTTTCTTTACACTCTATGTACAGGTAATTAGAGATAATCAACTTCAGATGGCTTGAAGTTTAACACAAGTATTTGTTTGAATAGGAAAGTACTTCAGTCGATTCCTAAATAAATGTGCTTTGCAAAATCTCTTCTTTTGTGTTATCTCTACCTACTTGCCCACTACTGCTCTGCAGGTAGTACTCAGCTCCATGAAGATCCCGATTTAACAGAGACTGGTCTATTTGGCAGGGTGATTAGCAGCTGAAACCAATACCTACCTTAAGAGACCAGTAAAAGAAGTGATAAGCCTATCATGTTTGGGGTTCGGGAGTACAGGTTAAGTAAAATACCTTTAAGCTTTTCTTTGCTCTTTTGAAGTAAGACAATGAAAGCAAACTCTCAGCATAAAATCATCACCAACTGCTGCACCGCATTCGGTATGGGTTTATCACTTCATTAAAAATCCCAAATAAACAACAAAGGTACTTAACACACTTTAAAAATACATCTCTAATTTCCATTTTGGAAGCTAGAAACTTCTTTTGTGCTCATCCATTAAAACTTGTTTTAGTGTTCCCAGTGCATAAACATGCCTGGCAAAATGGCCACACTGACTGGTTTGTTAAGCCATGTCCAGACAGGCATGACATTGCCTGAAAACTCTCGGAGGTATTACCTGATAATGTCCTGTCACCTCTGATGCTTTGTTCGTGATAGCCTGCAGAGGAATAAATGCAGGTTCTAGCATGAAAATTGTCCCTCTAAATTGTTCCATCCTGCAGATAACAGGCCTGTCTTCCTGCACTTCATTGATTTAATTCTGCCCAGTCATTCTCTGACTGGTTTTCTGAACTGCAGCTCTGTCTGTTCCCAAGCATTTGATCTAATAGGTTGTGATGAGGGTTTGGTACTTGAAAAACCTTCTTGTGGGAGCTTATGACAGTGGCTAATCAATAGTTCATAAACACTTTCTTCAAAGTAGTATTTAGTCTTCTCCCCAAGCAGAGTACAGTACGTAGAACAAAGGGTGAGTGTGTAGGTGCATCTTTCTTCTTGCCTTCAGTCTGCCCATGCGAGGTCCACCTTGCCCTGGTAACCATCGGTGGCCGCATGAAGCAGGTAAGGCATGTGGTGGCCCACTCAGTTTGGGTGTCAGCCTGGGGACTGAAAAAGTTCTTCCTTCCCCAAACACCTCTGTGCTCCACGATAACATCTTTGAAGCTTGTGTTCTTTCGCCTTGTAGGTTGGGTAAATGTCTCCATGTCCCCACCCAAATCCTGATTAATAGATTAAGTAAAGTGAGGGGCAGATCAGCAGTACTGCTAAACTGTTTCCTGCTGTTCTCTGGCAGTCTTTCGGTACATCTTAACAGAGCATCTGATGCTCTGTTTATTCGTTCTCCGTTGTTCAGTTTGCTGTTGGATGGTTTTACTTTTTTAAAAATTATGTGTCTAGGCATATTAAAAAATAAAAAAGATTGCTCCTCAAGGGATGCAGGCTCCTAGTATGATATCAAACTATCCAAAGTTCTTGCTTTCTCCCAGTTTTCTCAATCTAAAAATTTGACTGGCTTAGTAAATCAGTGCCAGAAAAAGTGAGGTACAAATCTGTTCCTCAAAGACGTATCAGGAGCTCAGGAAAATCAGTTGTCTGGTCCTAATACTATAATGAGAAACTTTACAAAAAGCTGAAGCTATTCAGAAGGATCTGAAAAGCGTACTTATGGAAAATCATGGCTTCTGTCAGAACCTGAAATAAATAATAAATGCCATGCAGCAGGTGGAAGCAGCCTCTGAAGTACGAATGCCCTGGGTAGAACAGGTACAGAGACAAGGCAGCAGACCGACATGAAAATAATTGAAAATAACCACATTTGTTTAGAGTTAAATTCTCAGTGAATCAAGCTGATCTAGCTGTGAGACAGGAGGGGGCAGATAAGTACTGGTAGCTGGCATAAGGTCACTGGACACTTTCTAAAGAGGATACTATACAGCAATTATTTTCAGCCTTTTTCAATTTAGAGACCCCTTCAGAGCAAACTTGGCTCAGATCTGCTGCTCCTTCGTGGTTATTAGGAGCTGACTGGTCTAATGGACTGAAAGAATTGAGGAACAGATCAGAGATGAGACAGTCCTGTGCATCTCATGCAAATGACAAAATAAGGAATGGCCTGTATTTCTTCCTGGTTTTAGCTTTGGAGAGTTGAAGAAGAGCAAACAGGTTCAGTAAGGCTGAGGTAAACTGTTCTAACAGGAACTTTCTAACTTTCAGGATATGGTCCTATATAAAATCCATCATGTATTTGGGTAACAGCTTCAGTTGTTACTATTGAATAGGATGTGCTTCCAGAAATAATGGTAATATAACTACTAATACTTGCTTTATGAAAGAGGGGTGTTCACATGTGTCCCTCTCAGGAATTTTACTCTGGGTGGTTCCATAGAGAGGATCAAAACAAACTGTAAACCTGTAAACAAAATCTATGTAAACACAGCTTCCGCAATACATGATTCCTGCTTAAAAAAAATATAGGGCAAACAAGTTCAATTATCTTAAATTTAGGGTGGCTGTTTGTTACTAGTTTTCATTTATGGAAAGTACTAATTAAGTACTGAAAATTGCCTTAAATAAATAAATACAAGTTTTATTTGGAAAGAAAAGTCACTTATAAGAGGCAGCAAAATTGTGTTTGTGATTACACTTGAATGTCTCAATGATCCATGTCTTGCAGGAGAGCCGTTCAATGATTTTTTTCATCTTGTCGTAGTAGATCTGTTAGTAGAGATCTGTTAAGGGATCTGATTGTATACCATCTGCTTCCTCATCCTGTAAAAGCTGAGAATTAGTTTTGTTTTCAAGGTTTTATACATTCGTGATTCAGAGCGATTCCCATGTCAGCAGGCTTTAATGTGGAAGAGCTAATTGAAATTGCAAGTGAGTGAGAAGAGGTACCAGAAAGGCAGGAGGGAAAGAATCCACTGAGGATCATAGCGATTCACAGAGAATTCTTCTTCCCATAGGAATAATAAACTTGCTCACATCGTGACTGAATTGTATGTGGTCTTGCAGTGTCTTCTTACCAATGTTTGCAGAAAACTTGTTTCTAAGTGTGTTGCCCGTCCATGGAGGAAGAGGTCTAACATGACTAGTGGTGTGCAATCCCATCTTTTCAGTAAGATAATTAATGCTGTTCTATCACAAGTAAAAAGACCTATATGGTGAAGCACTCAAACCTTGCAAGAAGATTGTAGACTTCTGATGTTGCTTTGGCAATAGCAGGATATGTTTAAAGAAGCTTTCTGTACTAAAAGAGAAACTGTTGTGTGGCAGAAACAATTGTGACTTTCATCTGGTTTGATCAGGGTTCATTTCACTTCTTTTTAGCAACTTATTGGAGCTGCTTAAGTGAGAAGCTGTGCTTCTGGCAGGAACCTGTCTAAAGATGACAGCAAACCCTACCTAAATGAGAGTCAGCCCAGTAACCCAGAGCCACCCTCTGACAGGCCCGCCTTCGTTCATTAGCTATGTACAAAGGCTAGTGCAAGTAGACTGACTAATTGCATGTCTGTAGCTAGATGTGATGAATCTGGGCATGTGACTCAACTTCAAATGGGCAGGAGAAATTGCAGTGCTCTGTTAGGTGATAATCCATAACAAAATTGCTTTATTTGCTATTAGAAAATTCTTCAGAGTTGGTGAGCTGACTTAAACTGTTTTTCAGCTTTGTGCTTCAATAGGGAACAAGCACATAATTGTGGTGATTATAGTTCTTCAGTTGAATCTGTGGGTATTAAAGATACAAGGCAACCATGTGAAGAAAATACTACTTTAAATGCAAGTTTAGTTTCTTACCCTCCCTTGAGAAATCCCAGGATTGTTTGAACCTATTCTACTCGCAGGTGGCTAGGTGCTCTTTTGGGACTGAAGTATGCCTGTGTGGACAACTAACGCATTACTACTAACAACTGAGTGCTCAGAGGGCCCTAGTTATTCTCCAAATCAAAGGAGAAGATCCTGAAGAAAGTATAACATGACTGGAGTGATCAAGGTGGTAATTTGCAAAGGTGATGTTGAAATAATGTTGTTAGTGTTATTGTATGATGCATAGGCACTTGCTTTTATATAAAGCATGAGGATTCAGCCTGCAAATTTTGAGTACAAGTGGTCATTAGTGTGTGACACCTAGCTTGTCTAAACGCCAAAGCCATTGTCCTCTTTTCAAGTCTAATTTTCAGATGCATTGTTTAGTAAGCACAGTAATATGGATATCAAAATACGGATTTTTTTTTTTTCTTCACACTTAAAAAGGGTGAACAAAATATATGAATTACTTTTTTTAGGAGAATTACTGAAGTTTGGATTGCTATCTTGATACTATAAACCTGCAATAAGTGGCAATGTCAAGGGTTCCCACCCCACCTCCTCCTGGGGAGATGTCCAGTGGACCTGTGGCTGAAAGCTGGTGTTACACACAGGTAATCTACATAAATTCCAATGGCTTTATTTTCTAGTCATAATTTAAAAAAACAACCTAAAAATACTGAGTTGTGCTGACAGTCTAACTAGTTCTCATAGTTAATGCTTGATATGCGAGTTAAATTTTATTGACATTTTCTGCATCTTTTGTTCAGGTTAAAGTAGTAAAATTTTCCTACATGTGGACCATTAATAACTTCAGTTTTTGCCGAGAAGAAATGGGTGAAGTTTTAAAGAGTTCTACCTTTTCATCAGGGCCAAATGACAAAATGAAGTGGTAAGGTCTTTATTCTAGCAACTGCTTTGGGTTTTTTGTTTTGGGTTTTTTTTTTCCCCCCACTCAAGAAAGTTGCAAAGTTAAACTGCAAATAAATATTAAAATTCGGACATTTCTTTAAGTTTTAGTATAGGTTTGGATTGGTTCTCATTTCAAAGTTTCAACAGTCATAAGGGAAATATTTGTTTTGGTAGCATGTATCATTGTATCTTATAAAAATATTTCTGAATTTATTTTGGGTACAATTTAAAAATGTACAATTTCTGCATTTCTTTCAGGTGCCTGAGAGTGAATCCAAAGGGATTAGACGATGAAAGCAAAGACTACCTGTCATTATATTTGCTTTTAGTCAGTTGTCCAAAAAGTGAAGTCAGAGCAAAATTCAAATTTTCCCTGCTGAATGCTAAAAGAGAAGAAACAAAAGCAATGGGTAAGGGAATCTTAATGTATTGCATGTGGATTTGTAAGAACATCACAAAGAAAACCAGCGTTGTAATTTTTTTCAGTTGAGAACAGAATTTAATATTGAGATAAACTTTAGAATATCTTTTTTTAATATCTTTTTAGAAACTTAATTAAAAATCTCGTTCATGTTTCACACATTTCTGATCACTGAGCTATGTTAATTCTATGCTGAGCAGTATAAATTACAGTGGATCACTAACTGCCATCACTCTGGATTCTTGTAACTTAGCTTTTCCGGCAGATTATTCTTGCTTCCTGTTAGTAGAGGTGTATTTGCTCATTTCTAGCTACAGTGGAAGTAAGTGCTTGATTTCCATCATTAATTAGGATAAATATGCATAGTTGTTTTTTTAGACACTCCTTTACAATGTTTTGGTCTATTTCATGAGATTTACACTGTAATCAGTTTAAAAACATGAGCCATGTACCCAAGGAATTAGAAGACTTTGAAATAATTGGTGATTTGATTTAATTGCCTTCTTGGTATGAAAAATCTATGGCTCTTAGTTTCAAACTTAAAAGCACAACCTTCACTGGAAGTGCTTTTTGGGAAAGCTGGAATTCTCCTGAAAATGCGAAATTTAATGCTGGTCTGCACTGAGTTTGTGCTGTTGCTAGTCCTGTATATGAAGAATCTGTCTACTTTTCTTCCCTCCTCCTACTCCAGGACTTAAGAGATTTTGCAGGGTCTGTTCTGTTGCAAGTTCTGAATTTCTTGGAAAAATCTATAGTTCTCCAGTACTCGTAGCCAAAGTTCTTCTTATGTAACTAGGCCCACTTGTAATCTTTAAAGTAAATCCACAAAACTGAGTTCAAATCTAAAAATTAAATGATTGGACTTTGTGGAAGGAAAGGAAATGTATGTATTTCACTCTATTTATCCTCTTCCACTGATGGAAGTTGGTTGCTTCAATCCCTGCATGCCTCCTGGTTCTGGAGCTCATATGAACAAAGCTACGCTTTTATATATTTGGTGGATCATGGCTTTTGGCTTGAGACAGTCTTCCAGTACAGTAGTGGATCGGTGTATGTAATTAAATGAAACTGCAGTGTTTGCATCAAAAAATATTTTGAGATAATCATAGAATCACAGAATTGTTGAGGTTGCAAGGGACCTCTGCAGGTTTTCTAGTCCAAACCCCCTGCTGAAAGCAGGGTCAACTAAAGGCGTTTGCCTGGGATCTGTTGTGCTTTGAATATCTCCAAGGATGGAGACTCCACAACTTATCTGGGAACCCATTCTAGTCTTTAATTAGATGCTGCTGGTCCTTCTTTGCCTTGTTCATTTGTTGCCCACCAGGACCCCAATCGCCAGTCACCTATTTCTTCCTGATCAGTAGGTTTATAGCAGACACTGAGCACAACACTGCTCACGTTGGCCTGCCCTCTAATCCCGACCCATAAACTCTCAGCTGGCTCATCATCCATCGCAAGGCAGAGCTCCACACGTTCCTGTGGTTCTCATGTAAAGGGCAGCTCCCTTGCCTCACCTTCCTGGCCTGGCCTCCCTAAAGAGCCTCTACCTGTCCACTGCAGCACGCCAGTCGTGTGAGCTGTCCCACCACGTCTCTCTGAGGCCAAGGAGATTGTAGCCCTGCAACTGTGCACAGACCTCTAATTCCTTCTTTTTCTTCCCCATGCTGTGTACGTGAGTTTTCGGGCATTTCAGAGAGGAATGCAGTTATGCTGATTTCCCAGAATATGTGTGAGAGCTTTCTTCGTAATGCTGTCCTAAATGAGGGATACGCAACGTAGGATGGAAGGATTTTGAGAATCTGAAGATTATGTGCCCAGTGGTACTTTAAATGCTAAAAATCACAAGGTGCTAAAACCCAAAAATCCTATGAGTAGATGTGTCTTCAGTTTCTGCAATAGTAGCTATCCTGTATTTGGCACTACAGGAATTATAAACATCTTTTATTTTTGGAAAATTACCAACAGAAGTCTTATTTCTTGGACTTCCCAGCCATTTACCATCTGCTTCTGGAGATGCTCTGTTTTTATTTATACAGTAAAATGGTGCCTGACTGTAGATGTCCTTTGTAAATTGATAATTCATGCATAGACTGCTACTTCAAGTGATGAAGTAGCGTATAAGATAAGTAACGAACTAACATTTTAACTTTATTAGAAAGAAGAAAAATACATTTACACTTTTATGATGCTTTATAGTTTTGTGTACTTAAATTGCTACTGATCATTTAATTTCAGAGGATTAACACTGATTCTTGCTGATAACAGTAAAAGCTACCAAGTTAACTGTAGTGTAGAGAAGTCACTTTCCTGATGTCTTTATTTTGGATGTTGTAGAAGAATGCTATCTATATATATATAATTAGCAAATCTGATGGATTAAAAAAATAACTCTCATAGCTATGGCTAAAAGGTAAATATAAATAGTATCTTTTTAAGACCAAAGAAATAGTTTGTTACTTGAAAGCTTTTATTTCTGTTTTGCTTTTTTAGTGCTTTTACTGTATTTCAAAATAATTTCAACCTGTGAAACAAGATCTTTCATTTCAGGAAGAAGTCAAAACAGATTATGACAACTGCAGAAGTGTTGTCAGAATGCATTTGTGATGACAAATTCATTGTAATGGTACTTCCCTGTGAACAGTTTCTGTTTTGACACATTGGCATTCTTAAACATTAACTGAAAAACTCCTCTTTTGCTGGATGGTGCCTAAGATAACATCTAAGGAGATGATATGGTTTGCATTGCAAATTGTGCTCTACTAAGTGCTATCAAGTGTTTTACGAAATAACACTATTACAACATTAAAAAAAGTTTTAATCAGTTGTGGGTTTCCTAAAAATGTGACACCTATGATCCAAATGTGTTAAATTATTCATTTTTTGGATTAACACTTAGCCTTAATATAGAATTTTTATGTGTTGTTATTTGTTAATATTTTTATTTAACTTGCTTTATTTGTACATAACTGTTTTTATCAGAAAGCCAAAGAGCGTATCGATTTGTGCAAGGCAAGGACTGGGGTTTTAAGAAATTTATCCGAAGAGATTTTTTACTAGATGAAGCTAATGGTCTTCTACCAGATGACAAGCTTACATTATTTTGTGAGGTGGGTATAGTTTAAGTGGTAAGCTTTAAATAAAATATTTTCTGCTCTAATAAATAGAGGTTTATGTTGATTTAAACAGTAATATGCTATAAAAGTTGTCTTCTGTAAACTATAAATATGGCAAGATACACATTTACTTGCTTTGTCTGCATTGTATTTTGTTTTTTGATACAAGTACACTGAAGTGTAGAATGAGTCTGAATCGATCACTTGTAAACTGTTGGTCTTCTCCATGAATTTGCCAGGATTACATTAGAATCGACTATAGAATTATTTATGCAAAAGGTGACTGGTATGTGCTGTCTGTAGCAGTAGTATTTTACTGAGGTCACTTTTATTTAAAGAAGTTGTGTTTGGAATTATAGGATTGTTTTTCACTGGATAAGCAAAAGGAAATGTCTGCATGCTGGTATTCGCATTATTAAAAAAAAAAAATCAACTGTCAGAATCTGTATTCTGTAATACCATAACTGATGGCTTTAACCAATGATCAGGTCTTTCAAGTAAATTAAACACTTTATTTTTGTAGTAATTGTTGCACTTGTTTGGAAAACAAAATGTAAGTATCCTGTAGAAGTACTGCTTAATACTGAGAATTAATATTGAGAGCTGTGGTATAAATTTAACTTCATGGTGTATTACGGGTCACTTTTATAACATCAGTTATGTTGTAACCTAAATTGTCATATTAAAATGTAGTAAAACGCTTACTCAATGTTAAAAATGGAAACTAGAGAAAGTTGCAATGTAAGGACAGTGTATGTTAAATATACATTGGCCAGTTATCTTTGCTGCCATAAAGTGATTAGTGGCTTAGGAGGATGATAGATGCTCTAACTGCTAATAAGTTTGCTTTGATCTGTGTATTTTTACAGGAAATGTGTAAAATTGTCTTGGCAAGATTACAATTTAATTATACATCATTATGCTGTGTAGGAAGAATAATTGAAATGTGGCCCCTGAGACTAGATATTGCAAATATAGCGCATCTTATTTTCACTTAGACAAGTTAAATTAGCTGCATGATAAATTTGTTATGAATGCAATTATTTGGGTGATAAAAGCAAATGTAACAAGTGTTTTATGGTTCTGTAAAGATACTTTTGAGTATTTTCTCATTTTAAGTTTTCCTGGTAATGAATACTTTGATGTAAATTAACAGCTCTTAAAAATAGTGTTTGGTTTTGGAAATAGGTCACTATCTAATTTTAGAGATAAAATTTGTTTAAAAAATAAGTTGAGCAAATACTGAATTTTCCAGAGAGAAATACTGTTATTTTAATTTTGATGCTGATCTTTAAATATAACTGTTTCATCTTGATGTTTTAATGTGAGTGGCTTTTGTGAAGTGTTTGACCTACCCTGATTATAAATGCTGAAGGAGGTACAACATTTAGTTGTGCACAGTGAGCATGTTAAAATAACTTCTGGCTTGTTTCAGGCTAAAGCAAAAAATTGGAAATCCAAATATTTTTAAAATTTGTTTATTCAGATGTGTTCTTCTAGCTCTTCAGCTGTCATTAGAAATAACAGGTGTTGTTTGAAGGACCTGTTTCTAACAGACAAGTCTAAAGTTTTTGTCCTTTTAAAACTTAACTGTAAGTTCTAATTTCTGTATTTGCCTTCATACTTGTATCCTAGTTGGAAGACTGACTTACCACTTCTTAAAACTATATTGCACTTGGTTTGATAAACCTTACTAGACATAGCAGGTGTTTAGTAAAGGTCACTGAGTACCAGCTGTGCTGGTTGGCTCTTCTTTTCTCCCTGTTGGGTTGCAGAAGGATTATTTGGTCTTCCTTGGCAGCAAAGATACTCCTTCTATGTTGCTGAATGTTCTTAAGATCAGTTGGATATGTCCTTGGATTGGAAACTGAAGGGTTGTTAAGTTAAATACTTTGCAAAGTCTGGTGTTGCCACCAACAAGTGACCTATTGATTAAATACAACTTCATAATTTTATTTTTTATACTGTTTCACTCAGTTCTCACTTTCTATATAATCTGGAATTACTGAAGCCTTGCAAGTATTTTCATTTGCTAATAGAATAGTAAATTTTCTGCAGAGGTGTTTTTCCTAGTGAGTGCTTTCACAGATCTCTTACCTAGCTTGGGTTGAGAGAGTAGTCTAGAGTATCACTTACATCATCTTTAGTATTACACCACCACAGATTCAAAACCAAGAAAATGATACACATTATCCATGTTAACTGTCATCACACAGAGAACTTGTTCAAGTCCTAGTTTATACGTTTTTATATACCCTTACATATGAGGGTATGCAATGCAAATAGGAGCTGTGCCCCTGAAGTATGCAAGCCGTGCAAAAGCTGCATGTTAGATACCTTCCAAAGAAGTAAAGTAAGTCAGAGCTTGTGGAGTACCCGGAAATCCCGGCTGGATTGCTACTACTCTTTAAAATAGGTTGTTCGATATTAGTTTTAGCATCTCATCATCCTGCAGTTTAGTGAAGCAGTATCTTCACTCTTGCGAGTGGTTTTTATAAACACAATTCTAAGGTGCCTGAAGTAAGCATTTGGTATCAGGTGTTGAGATAATCATAAAACAGTCACTTTTACCTAACATGAGTTTTCAATAGTTATGTGGGATTGACTTAATTGGATTTCAGCTTGATTTAAATTAAAAAAAAGAACGCACTTGACGTTAAGCATACCACCTGGACAAATGAGATACGAAATATCAGACCCCTATAAGTGTTTGTATTTAGGATGTTTAGAAGTTGTTACAACCTATAGACAGTATGTGCCAGACCATTCAGATGTAGGAGACTTGAATTAAAATTTTGCTCAGGATATATCTTAAAAGGACGGGTCGTCGCAAACTGTGTTGCACAACTATCAATATATGTTAGAAACCATTCTAAAATAGCAGAAGCTTGAAACATCAGAGAACAGTTTAAGTATGCATAAAGAACATGTAGATGGCCTTCCTAGGCACTGTACGTGCCAGACCATTCAGATGTAGGAGACTTGAATTAAAATTTTGCTCAGGATATATCTTAAAAGGACGGGTCGTCGCAAACTGTGTTGCACAACTATCAATATATGTTAGAAACCATTCTAAAATAGCAGAAGCTTGAAACATCAGAGAACAGTTTAAGTATGCATAAAGAACATGTAGATGGCCTTCCTAGGCACTGTGTCTATACCTAGCAAGAGGATGCTGTGCGGACAACTTGGATCATGAACTTTGAGTCGAGTCTCTGGAGAAGCAGAACTCTCCTTTGGCAACAGAACACTAGCTTTGCTAAGCTAAAGCTCCGTTTGTGTGTATAAATATCTTCTGAAATCACTCTGTGTGTATGAAAACTGTGAAATAGAATACACAATAGCTCTATAGATCTTTCAGTGTTATAAATGTATAGTCTTACTGTGAAAGTGGAATTTTGCAGTGCTTTTTTTTTTTCCTTTTAAAAGGTGGAAGAATATGAAGGAATTTCTTATAATCACGAGGGGGTATGGCATGAAACAGGGAATTAGGCAATGATGCAAATCCCCAAGCTGCTGTCTTAATTGGATCATCCTCCTTTTCTAGTCTGGAGTTCGGTTTGCAGTGCTCCTACTTTCTGTGAAGCTTAGCTGTGCTATTTTTGCTTTATGCCAGATTTATTCCAGATGCTGTGCCTCTGGAAATCAAACAAAGCACTGATCTTAACAGTATCAGTATTTTCTCTTAATATATAATCCTAATTTTCTGTATTTGGGAGATGCAGTGATTAAGATCTTGTAGTATGGCTCTTTTCTTCTTTACGAAGGTTTTATTGAGGCGTGTGCTCTCAGACACAGATGTAAAACCTGCTGAGCTCTTCTGTTTTCCTAACATACTGATTAAAAGGACTTAGTATATAGAGATATCTGAAAAAAAGCAAGTAAGAATGCTACTGTCCTTACTTCTTATGTGAAAGACTTAAACATGGGGAATAATGGCAATATGTTCATTGCAGATGCACATATTTCACAGTTTTCTTAACTAGTTCTGTACAAAAATTACATCCTGTGAGCATGCATTTCATTGTTGAAGTTAGTTACCTACTGCATCTTGTATTTCATTGACTTGTCTTTCTAAAATAATGGCTTTTAATCTTGTTTGGAAGAAAATTGCTTGTGATTCCTGCCTAAGCTGGATACAGTAAAATGAAATACTGAAGGAGCTATGTTACTTGCACTTAGTTTGCATTACCACATTGCAGGTTTAAGTATGAACTTACTGTAATTAAAATTCGGAATATCATACTATTCAAAATTTCTGTAGATTATTCCTATGAAACTTTTCTGTGACCTTGTGATCCTGATGATCCGTTTAGGATTTTATATTGTATATATTTTACTTAAATGTCTGAAGGGTGTTGAACTGTTAATCTGCTTCTGAAATAGTGTTAACTTTTTTTGATCCCACTGGTATCCCAAGAACCGTATCTGTCCTCGACTTACTTACTTTGGCATTTGTTAGATGGCATGTGGTATTGTGCTCTTTTTTTTGTTTTGGTTGGATAAATACACCATATAGAGTCTCTAAGTAAAGCCCTATTTGTTTTATGTTACTTAAAAGTAAACTGTAAAGCATTGGTTTACGGTTCTGGCCTAATGCCAGAAACACCACTGTTTTTTGCTTTGCTTTGGAATTGCTGAAATTCTAGCAATAGGAACTGTAATTTAATTATTATTGGCTTTCAGTTATGAAGGAGTTGTCTTGCTGTGATTTTCTGTTAGGTAAGCGTGGTCCAAGACTCAGTAAATATATCAGGACAGTCTAATACAAACACTTTGAAGGTACCTGAATGTCGACTAGCAGAAGATTTAGGGAATCTCTGGGAAACAACAAGATTTACAGATTGCAGTTTTTATGTAGGAGGACAAGAATTCAAAGCTCATAAATCTGTACTTGCAGGTACTTTCTACTTTTGTATTGCTATTATTTTGTAATTAAAATTGCTAAAAGTTTAAAATTTGATTATATTTAATATTTACTTTTCTTGCCACAGCACGATCTCCAGTTTTTAATGCAATGTTTGAACATGAAATGGAGGAAAGCAAAAAGGTAAGCCTTACTGAAAACTTTATGTGTAAATATTTGTACCTTGTGAAAAAGGGAAAGTTGCAGAAAACTTGAAGTATTGCATGTTTAGGAAGATGAGTACTGCATGATGCTGCATGAGTGGAGAAGGTACTGCTCCTGAACACTTTTCCAGTGAATTCTGCAGGAGTTTCTTTGTATAGAATGAGCAGATAGGGCTGACTGTGGAGAGATTCTGGAGGATTTGTCCTTTCAAGCACTTGTATCTGCCCTCCATCAGTTTTTGACATTAGCTACTGATGTAATTGACCTAGTAATCTCTGCCCCATTTTTGCTTTAGTTTATACCTTCACATAAGCCGATTGACTTCTAAGGTTTTGCTGTAGTGTATTAAAACGTTTTATATGGTAGCTAGGACACAAAGAAACAACAGGTGAATTATGACTCAAATTAAACCCTGAGGCAGCGAAGCACTCCCTTTTCATTCACAGTTGCTGCAGGCACTTGACCTGTATAAGTGTTTTGGATGGATAGTTACTTAATCAGCACAGAGAGCTGCTTCTGCTTTTATGCACTTGATATCTCCCACAGTGACGAGCTGTTCATGTCGTTCATGAAGAAGAATATCTAAAATGGGTTGATTATGGGCAGTATCCATGAAAAGGCAAGGAACTGATCAGCTCACTAAAGGATTGTAATAGACGATCATCACTTAGTCTTGGAGGCTGCAATGGTGCCACTTGTGTGAACGAATACATCAGACGAATATGGTGCTGTAGTACAGTTGAGTTTCATAAACATGGCATTTTTCTTCCCTGCACTTCTCCAATCTGGAAACTTTCACAGGTAGAATTAGAATATTGGAAGCATTTTGTTGGGATTTCTGGTCTGAAAGAAACCCAGACGTCCCAACTTCAGTAATGTGCCATGCTGGAGGCCTTCGCCTTCATGTTAGCAGTGAATCTCCAGTGCAGCCCTACTTCTAAATACTGTATGTGGTTCAGTAGATAGGAAACCAGAACACGTACATCTCATGTGCTCATAGCCTGTGGTTTTTGTACCCCATTCAAAAGTCTGGTGCTTGCTTCTACATCTTTGACATAATTTCCTACTTTGTTAGTAGCTTATAGGGGATACTATTAGAGGATGGGGTGAAGCATGCAATACCACAGATTTATTAGGAAGGCCTTTAGCTATGTGATGTCAGTTAGATTTGCTTTGTTTGCTTTTTGGATTCTGAAAACAAAACGTAGGCTGTGTTGACTCAATTTAAGTCGAGCCAAAAATGGCTCATTTTGTTCTGTCTGCTACTCTGACTTCTGATATTCCAAGCACATCATTGTAGGGTCGGAAACTCAGCAGCACTTTTAAATATTCCTGAAACTGTGCCTTGATTTTTATGTACAGCCTGTGCAATAGAGTCCAGAGTTAGACATTTATAGAAAAAAGTTGCAATTACTTTTTATTGCCTAAGCTTTTCCAACTGATTTCTACCTGACTTTAAGAGCTACTGATTTTGATTACTTTCTGCTTAATATTGTTGAATGTTAACTTAAATCTGTAAGGATTTTGTATGATGGATGGCAAATGAAAACTTGTAGCATGCATGCAGATGATATTTGATATGTTCACTTTAAAGTTGTAGCTAAATTCCAGAGGCTTTTATTGATTATTCTTCTTTACCAGAATCGTGTAGAAATAAACGATGTAGACCCTGAAGTTTTTAAAGAAATGATGAGATTCATTTACACAGGGAAAGCACCAAACCTTGAAAAAATGGCTGACAATTTGTTGGCAGCTGCAGACAAAGTAAGTAATTGTCTCCTAAGTTCTCAAACCTGATGTTTGCTTGTGCAATGTTCTTCTAAAAAAAAAAAATAATTTTTTTTTCAGATTGATACATATTTTGGTTTTTTTAAAATATGAGAAACAGATCTCATCAGAAATGGAGAAAGACAGGAAAGAATAGACTTTTTTAGCAGTAGAAGGCTGATAAATCTTTCTTGACCAGAAGTGTTTCAGATATTAATTATATTTACTCTCCACATTTTTTTAGAAATTGGGGACCGTTAATATGATTTGGAAAATCGGTCTTGAATAAAATGTATCCTAGAGTTTTGTATTCTTGAAGAGGATTTATACAAGTGTTTGAATTAACTGTACTCCCTAAAGTACTGCTACTTCAGAACTTTCATCTTTTTTCTTCCCTACAAACATAATAGTTCTAATCATTCATCTCTTCTGTATTGGGATCTTATATTCTCTTTAAACTGTTACTCTGTGAAATACTTTTTCCACTATGATTTCTGAGTTGAGGGGATTTATAACAGCACAGCAATTGAGGTGAGATTATTCCCTTTCATATCATAATTTACAGTTTACTAACTTTTTAAAAACTTGACGCAATACCTTGGTTTTTTTTCTCTGCTTTACAGCATGAGTTGAAATTTTAGTTAGCTATCCTTAGAGGACACGCAGTTGTCTTTCCCTGAGGAGGCTTAAGTAGTTTAGAATCCAGAAAATACTCACTTTTTAGTGTGTGTAATCTGAAACTTTTTCACTCTCAGCTGAGAGTATGGCAATTCCTTAAACTACCTTTGCAATTTCTGAATTGGTTGTGCAATCATATCCGTAAAAAACATTAGTGGTGAAAACTGCCTGTTCTTGTAATCAATCCTAATATAAGTCATTTAAGATAATAAAAGTCATCCCAGTAGTTAATTTCAAGAAACAATTATAACTTTTTTCTGGCAACTTAATGTGTTCTATTTTTTAAGATCTCTTGACCTGGCACTGCCCTGGCTTTGGTGACTTACCACTCTTATTCTTTTCACCTCTCATTGCCAGCATCTCATCTTCCAAAACTGATTGTGTTTTGTCAAGTTTCAGCGCACCCAGGCGGGAAGGTGAAATGGTGTTATTTTATGAATGCTGGCTTTTATTTAGGGCATAATTGATAAATGTAGACAATATTATACGGTACAGCTGTATGATTGTCTGCAATAGCAGAAAATAAAAATGGTGAGCTAGACGGTCCCTATAGCTTTTTGTAACAGTTAAAAACTGCTAGAAACTTTCTGCTGTTCCTTGTGAATGTGAAATAATCTAAAAATGAGTGTTCTGCGTATTATCGAAGGCATTACACTGCTGTATTACCTGGTAGGTACAGATTTGTTATAATTGATATTTACTTACTATAAATAGAGGTATCCTGAGGAGTACTGTAGTAATAAAATGGAAGTAAAAATGCATAGGTCTAGAAACATAGAAGTTAGCCCAATAATTTGACTTTTCTTGAATGGCATTTTTTCATTGCACAGAACAGTGGCTAATACGAATATATGAGTGGCAATTTGAATATATGCCACTTATACATCTAAAATTCTTATGAGACTTGAAGACTGTATTTGAAGGGTGCTAAACTAAATGGGATGGGTAAGATCTCAGTGGAAATGTATACAGCTGAATGAAACCTTTTCAGACTATGACACCCTTCAAAAAAGCAGCACAGTTTATTCATGCAATATATAATATGGGAATGTAATTATTTTACATCAATTTTCTGGTAGGCTGTGTCAAAGGTATGGAAGAAGTTAAGACATTCAGAGATGGGGGTGGGGGTAAACTTGGAACAAGCTAGTTTCAAACAGGCTAATGTATTTTCCCTTGGACAGTTTCATGAAACTTTTCCATTGTATAATTTCTTGCCCCTTGCTTTGAGATGTAAACCTGTCTAATGATGATTTTGATAAAGAGCCCGTGTCTGTTCCTTGCTCTTCCTCCCTTACCAAACTGAAAACTTCTAAATGAGTTATTTTTATTTTAATAAAAGTTCTTCCAGTAAAGCATTTGATCAGTTTGTGTCAAACCTAATGTATGTCTTGCCATTTGAGGACTCTTCAATGCAGCATATTGAATTTTGAATTACCTGTTTGGAAGCAGTTTGATCTTAGGCTTGGGAGGCACCAAGCATTTTCATGACTGGAACCGTCTTAAAAACTGTAGAGGTAACGATAGAAAGAATGAGTTTGAAGAATGATTAGTGTAGTTTTTTCTTTTATCAGTATGCACTGGAACGGCTGAAGGTCATGTGTGAGGAAGCACTCTGTAGTAACCTCTCGGTAGAAAACGTTGCTGACATTCTTATCCTCGCAGATTTGCACAGCGCTGAACAGTTAAAAGCACAAGCAATAGACTTTATTAACAGGCAAGTAATATTTATGAGACCCTAAATATATTTATATTTATGCTTTGTGTACCTTTTCAATAGTAACACAGTTCTTTCTTACAGGTGCAGTGTTCTTAGACAACTTGGGTGTAAAGATGGGAAAAACTGGAATAGCAAGTAAGTTTCCCTGCCTCACGATGTTCTGTACAAACACTGCTAAATAGACTGCAGATGTTAAGAACTGTTGCTTCATTTCCACACTACTGAGGCCAGTCACTGACTGTAAGTAAAGTAGGATTCAGCAGATGCTACCCCAGTTATGATTGTGACTTCCCCTTTAAATGATGGGGAGGGTTAACTGCCCTCCAGTGTGAGATCGTAACAATAGCTGGTTTTCATTCCTCTCCTAGGGACATATCAGTGCTGTGAGATGGTGGCAGCAGCCACCACAAGAGAAAGGAAACCATTCTCTTGACTAACCAGGTTTGTGCCTGGAGGAGTAGCAACCCCAGTGTGGTTTCAAGACTTGCTTAGGTCAATCTGAGCCTGTGGTGTTGCCTGACGCTGCAGTATTTCCAAAGAAAGGAGGGCAGTTGCTCTTTTTGCCTTCGGCGACGTGTTTGTGCACCTTCCCACATGCCAGCACTAGTACTCTTGAGGCCACACAACTAGTCAGTCAGGTCCCTCTGATCAGGCTGACTCTGTAAGTGCTCATGCCTACACTGGAAATAGGTTGAGAACATGTGGCTCAGACTGTAGGACTGATTGCAGCATATATTTGGAATAGAAGACAGCCAGCTTCAGAATAGCCAGTGGTAGGCTGAAACAGTGAAAGGACAGCAGAGCACTTATTTCTTACTGTCAGACTCTCCAGAGAAGTTAAAAGCTGTGTTGTACCAGTTACTTTAAAATTAGTGTGTTTCTCCTTTTTTAAAAAAAAAAGTCTTCACAGCCTAATGATTGAGCCTGATGTGGAAATGGAAGGGGATGGTAGAAGGGAAATAGTAAAATACCTGTAGAAAAACTAATGAAGTCAGAATACATAACAATGTAAACTAGTTGACGTGTTCCTTCTCAAGTGATTTGGAACTTACTGAGCTGACTTCTGTCTTGGATAATTGCTAGTAAAGGTGCTGGTCATCTTTGCTTCAGCTAAAGCATCTACAATAAATCAGAGAAATTGTGAGAGGGCCTGGCTTAATTTACTGACTCTGGGCACCAGGGAGTCTGAACTTTGGTGTTGTTTCTCAAGGCACCTACCTTTACTGACTTGGAGCAGAAGATTAAAGGCTTGCATTAGAAATCTGCAAAAGGTTTTTGAGAGATCCTATAGTGTAGAGGTCAGCTGCTAACTTTATGCTTGACAGTGTTTCTGAAACAGTATGAGGGTGCTTATGAAAGGCTTTTGAAAATGCAGGGCAATGGAAACTTGGGATTGATGCGTAAGCTGTTGGTTCCAAATTACAAATTTATCCTGTGTCAGTGCGGCATGCATCCCAACCAGTGTAATATTCTTCATGTGCAGAGTGAATTTTATGCTTTTGTTTTATATTATTTCACAAAAAAGTAAATATATACATTGAGTAAATACATTGTTTTTAATCTCCTGGATGTCAATGTGATACTTGCTGAAATCTGTTGTTGCTTCTGTATTAGTTAAAAATTGACAGTGGCCATTGAAAGCCATTCTGAATGTAGTCCATGATCTTGTACTGAAGAAAGAGTGAATATTCACAAGTATGCTCCACTGGTACTCGAACTGTGAGCTCCCAGTGGAGGGTTCTGTAGTCAGCCAGCTAATCTGTCTTCATGGCTTTTTCTAGTATATGAACGACATCATTTTTGTTGCAGTTTCAGCTGATTCGTCTTGTCATCCTTCTCTCTCCCTAAATCGAGCATGCCCTTCTATGTAATGAGATTATCATGTCTTCCCTTGCATTTCTTCTCTATGCTAGACCTCATTTTCTTCTAGTTTTCCTCTCATCATTTTTATTTTTGTAAGCAATTTCAAGGTGGTTATCTTACATGGTGCCCAATATTGGACACAGTTCTCTAGCTAAGTCTTGCTGGTACTGAGTAGAACCTACATGTGATGATATTAATATACCCGAATTACAACTTGCTGCTGCTTTCCAATGGCATCGTTACTGGCATTCATAAAATTTGTCTCATAATGCTCTCCTGCAGTAGTTCTGCCTTGCCTGCTCTTCTCCACTGTGCATTTGTGCATTTGGTTTGTAAAATTGTGTGACTATTCTTAATACTTCTGTTTTCAGCCAAGCAACAGACATAATGGAAACAGCAGGCTGGAAGTCCATGATCCACTCCCACCCTCACTTAGTAGCAGAGGCCTTTCGCGCACTAGCATCTGCACAGTGTCCACAGTTTGGCATTCCACGCAAACGGCTAAAACAGTCATGAAATCTTCCATGAACTTTAGAGAAATTGAATTGACTCTACTCCTCCATGTCCAGAGGTGTTTTCACAAACCATAACAAGAATTTTTGTTATCCTTGTCCACAGAACAGAAGCTGAAAAAGCCTATTGTTTGCTTTTCAGATGGATAATTTATGGTTTAATCCTCAGCTTTAAATTAGACTGATTACTCTAATTCACTGAAAGGCCTTAAATTATCTTCAATGACTCTCTAGTCCATAAAGTCTAATGTATCTTGATTTTTTTATTATTATTTTTTAATGTGCCTTGTCTTTTTGACTAGGCTCTGCAGGATTGCACTAGCTCCATAATGCAGTAAAGTTGATAACTGAAGATTAATTTTTGAAAGGGATCTTCCATTATTTTCAGAAGAAAAAAAAAAAAATGATTATAGTTTGGTCCTGTGCTAACTGGAAGGTTTTAACTAGCCTCTCATTAAAAGCGCTTGAACCAGAGGCACATAATGTACCCTAAACAAGTGCTAAATATAGGGAGAGCCTGTTTACCTTCAGCGAATGCCTACAGGCTATTTATGGCAATATACTGCTTTGAACATAATTTATTTTTCATTGTGGGGGCAAATATGCAATGGTTTGGCCCAAAAATGTATTTTCATTACAGTTTGTAATGCTTATTGTGTGTGTGTCAAAGCTGTCCAAATGGTAAAAAGAAACACAGAATAAACCTCTTGCTTGTGTTTCTTTACGGTCCATCATTAGTTTACATTTAATGCAGAACTGAACGAGAGGTAAAACGTTCAATGTGAAAACAGAATAGTATCGTATATGGAAAAAATATATCCCACATGTATGGTTACATAGAAAAGTAAAGGATGCATAGAATGACCAAATGTAAATTGAAGAAATGGGCCAAATGGATTCTGAATATGCACTTTTAATGTGTAACTTTTGTATGTTGTGTGGTACATATATATTTTGCTTTTGATGAATTAATGAGGTACAGGTAATTGTGGCTTAACTTTTTAGATACATTTTAAGATGCCCACAGCCACATGGGATTTAGTTTTGTTAGAAAAGAAAGGCATGTCTTTTTAAGACTCAATTGAAGGTGGCTATTGCAAGCTTTCATATTTAAGTAACAGAATATTTTCGCTTATTTGAAAAAGGCATGTGAATGGTAAAATTTTGAAGGGATTTTTCCCATCTTGACATATGTGCACAGCTTCCACTAACACCTAAGGAGGTTATGTACACATCAAGAGGAGTATTTCCCTGAAATGTCAGATGGTATTTGCAAGCAGAGACTTGCTCAGTCTTGCATTTCAGTTATTGTACTAGCATTGTGGATGGTATTGAAATTCTGCATAATGTGAAAAGGATGAAACATTTGTAAACTGCTTGTCATGGGCCAGTTCTTTCTTATATGAACCTTAGCTTTAATATCAACATCCTCAGTGTTTGATAGCTTTGTTTACAATTGGGAGGAAAAGTCTGCAGTAGTGCACACTCTAAATGTTTCCTGAGTTATTGCATTGAGTTTACTGTAATAGTGATAATATGCTATATTTCTTTTTTGGGAAGACTTGGGTTTAGAAGTGGGGAATGAGAGATCTCACGTAATTTATAAACATCTTTGCGTAAGGGTTTTAGTTCGCCTATTAAAAAACGTTATGCAGGGAGGAGAGAGGAAGAATTTCAGGTTGTTTACTATCTTAAAATCTATCTCCATCCTCATTTCATTAAGATTCATCTGAATTGCTCTGAACGAAATTTTTAGAGGAAAGAGTATATAGTTTTATACTTTGGCATCTAGTAAACCATTAGCAAAGGTAAATTGGAAAAAATGCCCAGTCCAATTTTGAAGACTAAAATAACCTCTAAACATGCATTTTCTTCTTATCTTCTAACTAAATCTTTATGATGGATGAAGTGTAAAATCAGAAACTTTAATAGTACGTAAGGCATCAAATTATATATTTAGAGATTTATCCTTTTATCAGTTTTTAAATATTTATCTGAAATGAGGTCTCATAAGCATTCTTCACAATAAGACGTAAAGGTAATTGTTCCCTCCAAAATAGTGATGTTTTTGCTGCACTGCGTAATGCGTTAGACTATATATCCTCATATTCATCACTGGTAAAACTTGCAGCTCTAACATACAAAGTGACTTGAATATTTAATGCTATAATGATTGTCCGGTTCAGCTTGTTCTAAAGTAACAACATAGAGTGATCTAATGGAAAGCTTAAGGACTTTTATGAAGACTTTTTTTTTAGAAGCTTAATACACTTTGTACCAAAAAATGTCAGACACTGTGCTGTACTATCTACATCGTAGAGTGTCCACTTTTCAAGTTAGGCAGTGTATACCATACATTACATTAACAGGAAAAAAAAAACCAACCCTGATAATTGATCTGTTCAGATCTGATTTTATTTATTATGTATGTTTTCAACTTCTGTCAGCTCTTAAGAAAAAGGTAAACCAGTTGCTGTATTCTTAAGTGAGTGCACTAATTATTCACCTCTTCTATTCTTTAATTAACTACATGCAGTGTTCTCACTGGAACAGGATAGCTGGTAATTACAACCTTCTTCAGATTCAGTAGCTTGTTTTTATTCCCCACATCTCAAGAGCTTGCCCTTCAAAACCTCAGTTGTCAGTTCTAAGTGCAGCAGATATAAAACTATCTAATACAATGGACAGTTTTTTCAGGCTGAAATCTTAGGGTTTTTTCCTTAGTTTTCTATACAGATTAGGAATATAATGTATGAAGGTGCCATGTTTTGGCTTGCCAACACTACTCCCTCAGATATATGTGAACCATCGCTTCCATACTTTTCTGGGGAGAACCCTGCATGTGTCCTGTGTGTGCGTGCGCGTGTGTGTATGACTGTGCGGTGTTTTTTGTCAAGAATGACTTTCTAAAAATAAGGACTCAATTTGCTGTTAAAATGCTGTTATGTATTATATATATTTTTTTTTTTTCCATTTGAACCTCTCCTAAGGAGATGCTTTGGGTGGAAGATGCTTCAATAAATAATCCTTATTTCCTAGTCCATTTACTGCATGCAGAAGTATGAACACATTGTGCCTTTTTTAGGAAACTCTTGTAATGAAGGGAAGATTTAACAGGATACAAGATCTTTTTAAAAGGTATTTTCAAAGGTGAAGGAAATGCTATTTGATACACAATTGAGACAGAAAAGTTACAAATTACCCATTTGAGCTCTGTTGCATGTTGATTCTTGCTTCCTAAATTCAGCTTCACTGAGGTAGAAAGAACACAAAAAAAGTGGAGTGAGTTTTACAGATACAAGTTGAGTAATGGTATATTTTTGTGAAAATGTGAAAATATTTGCTGTTACAAGATAAGTGTATGTCAAAATGTGATAATCATGGACACAAAGTTACTTTTACAAGTTTCTCTAGTTCTGATGTTTTTCTAAACATTGAGTATTTAGTATAAAATTCACCTTTGCACAGAAGGTCAGTAGAAGACCTACACGGAGATTATGTTCCTTTTAAATCCTCATGGAAAGGTTTCTCCCTTGGGAGAATAAACCGATGTGCAGTATTTGAAACTGTGTTTCATAAAAGACAGTGAATTGCAATTGTGAGGTATTGCTACCTGAAATATTGTTGAATTTTGTTGAATTTAACAGTCGGTTAAAATTCCTAAGCTTAACTGATTTATTTTTTTGTAATTGACAAATGGAATGTTAACTGTCCTCTTTGTCTGGTGTTGATAGTATATTTAGTGCAGAGCTTAGCTTCTTAGCTAGCAAGACACTGACTTAGTCTGATAACTTGGCTTCTGCTTACAGTAAATGGACTACGTTTGTAAAGGGAATTCACTATTTCAAATGTTTGGCAAGGAACTTCACCGTATTTGTAACCTGTTTTTTGAAGGCTTAAGATCAGTGAGTCCTATTTTAGAAATTAAACCAGTGAAATGACTTAGACCTGTTTTGGGGTGGAAATGATTAAGAGAATTCAGATATGTAAACAGTTGTATCAAACCATCCAGCCTTTTTTTATCAGCTGATGTTAATGGTGAAATACTTTTTGTACCTTGTTGCTGAAAATATTTTTGCGTTTCAGCACATCAAGTTACAATAAAGTTGTTACTTATACAGAATGTGTTTGTGTGGCTTGTATTTGTTTTTTTTCCTGTGTATGTTCACAATGGCTACCTTTGCTTCTCTCCTTTGAGAAAGGTATTTTACCAGCACAGTCCATCAGTCTAGTGTAAAATATACTGCTGTCCTTTTGGACACCTTTTTGGGGAGCATCGTATTCCAGTCTTGCTCTGATCTCCACTAACTTAGTTATTTTTCCATTTTGACACTTTCAAATAACTTAGAGCTCCGAATAGCTTATAACGTGCCTACCTGAGAAATGGCTGCCTTTACACAGACTGTCAGAACCGGTACTCAGTGGGAAAAAGAGTTCATCCTGCGGTAATGAAGATGGGCTTCATGGTTTCTAAGAGATTTGGTTTCTTTTTCCACCTAGCATCGAAAACGGTCTTTTTTTTTTCTTTCTTTCTTTCCTGTCAAGGAGTATAGGCTTATAATGACCACATACAACAGGAATGTTGCTTGCATTTGTTACGGGAGAAGTGGTATCTAAGAATAATCTATATGGGTAGTTCATGGGGTTTAATATGTTTAGAGATATTTTGCAAAGGTATGTAGGACTGCTGATATGCTGCTCGATGTGTTTGACTTTGGACGCACTGAACTCCAGAAAAAGATGATGTCAAGGTAAGTTACTTTATAAAAAGTGACGCAGGCCATTTGAACAAACGCAATTACCTGTCTTGTGTTATCTAGGCTACGGCGAGAATGTGGCGCAGTCGACCACTGCAGTTCTTCCTAAGATGACTTGGGTAACAAGTAAGGATACAGAGCTGTCATCACAGGGCTGTCTTGGGTGTCTCAGCGTAGCACATCGCTGTTTTGTGTGTAGGTACATGCAAAATTCTCCATGTTTGCTTAAAACATAATCCCTTAAGTTACCCCGCAATGATTCACCTTATACCAACAATGGTACAACTTATACTTTCACAGGCAGTTTCAGTAACCTCCAAGGTAAATGTGACTGATTACCACTGTGAATGGTAATCAAAATTATTTGTGCAAGTCCAAATTTTTGAACTGAGCTTCAACTTTTAGGTAAAGAATATTAAACTTCATTATTTCTTTTTTTAGAAGGCTATATTTTTATCCTTAGTCTTTCAGAAGTAATTTTTCTTCTGAGATGTTTACCTTGTCATCATACAAAAGTTTTCTTCATTATTCAGCGTAACGGATTCAATTAGCATTGATTAGAAAAAGCACCTATTTTCCTTCTAAAATGAATTCTAATAGTCCTTTATGTGGAAACTGGGCACATAAATAAAGCTTTTCCTCCTTTTAGTTGAATGCTTCTGTTAAAAAAAAACAAAAAACAACCCCAAAAATAAAACAAAACCAAAAAAAACCCCCAAAAAACTAAACCAAAACAAAAAAACCCCAACCAACCAAAAAGAAGTATTTTATGGTGTCAAGTTATCTGAATCTTGGTTTAACTAAAATATTACTAGTAACTTTTTCTTTAGCAGCTGAGAATTCTCATTTGAAGTCCAATGTACGTCCTTCTCTTTCTTTAAAAGGGGAAAGCTCACATAATGAATCTCGATTGGTAAGATATGCTATTAGAGTAAAAAGCATCTCTCGC